TTGTGTGGGCAAGCGGTGCTCGCCTTGCTGCCCAAGAAGGAGGACCTCCGCGATCTGAGGAACTGGTGTCCCGTCTTGCTCCTCAGCACAGACTATAAAATCGTCGCCAAAGCCATCTCCCTGAGACTCAAGTCCGTGCTGGCAGACGTGGTCCATCCAGACCAGACCTACACCATCCTGAGCCATACCATCTTCGACAACCTTTATTTGGTTCAGGATCTCCTAGAGCTAGGGTGTATGGATGGTCTGTCGTTCGCCTTCCTGTCCTTGAATCAGGAGAAGGCTTTCGACCGGATGGACCACGGGTATCTCCTGGGCACTCTGTGGGACTTCGACTTCGGGCCCCGCTTTGTGAGCTTTCTCCAGGTGCTCTACACTTCCGCAGACTGTTTGATCAAGCTCAGCTGGACCCTGACCACACCAGTCAGCTTCAGGTGGGGAGTACGTCAAGGCTGCCCGCTGTCAGGCCAGCTGTATACTCTGGCCATCGAACCCTTCCTCCGTCTTCTTTGCAAGAGGTTGAGGGATTGGTGCTCTGTGAGCCGGAGATGTGGCTGGTCCTGTTGGCATACGCCAACGACGTGCTCCTCGTGGTCCAGGACCCGGGAGACCCGGGTCAACTGGGTCAAGAGCTCTGGCCTGGGGTTAGGGGCCGGGTGGCAGGCGAGCACCCTCCCACCCGCGCTTCAGGACATGAGGTGGAGTGTGGGTCCGCTGCTCTATCTAGGCATTTTTCTCTCTGTCACACATCCCTCTTCACCGGAGAACTGGCAAGGTTTAGAGTCCAGGGTGACTGAGCGATTGCGGAGATGGACAGGACTGCTCCAGTGCCTCTCCCTGCGTGGGAGGGTACTGGTGCTTAACCAACTAGTCCTGTCCATGCTCCGGCACCATCTCAGCACTCTGGTGCCGCCCCCGGGTTTCCTGGATCAGATCCAGCAGCTGCTGCTGCGGTTCTTCTGGCCAGGACTGCATTGGGTCTCTGCAGGGGTTCTCCATCTTCCCCTGGAGGAGGGAGGGCAGTGCCTGATGTGTTTGCGCACGCGGGTTTGTGTCCTCCACCTCCAGGCCCTGCAGAGACTCTTATTTAATGCAGTAGTCCAGCATGGAGCATGCTGGTGCACGCTTTCCTTCGCCGCTTCCGAGAGCTCCAATATGACCGGCAGCTCCTTTATTTGAGAGGTCTTCCGCGAGACCTCTCTGAGCTGCTGGCCTTCTACCAGGACCTCCTCCGGGCCTGGAAGCTACTAGAGGCGACCAGGTCCTTGGGAGCCACCAATGGGGCAGACCTTCTCACGGAGCCCCTGCTACACAATCCCCATCTACATGTGCAGGCAGTGGAATCCCCCTCGGTGCACCAGAGGCTGGTCCTGACAGAAGTCACAAGGATCGGAGACCTCCTGGACTACAAGCGGGGAGACTGGGTGGATCCTCGGGTGCTCGCCCAGCGCATGAGGCTCTCCACCCTATGTATTCCCCGGCACATGCTTCAGGATGTGAAGGACGCTTTGCTGCCCACCGCTCGGGTTTATCTCGACAAGATCCTGCGAGAGGGTGCCCCTCACCCCCGACCCGCCTGATCTATCCATTGGCCCTAAGCTCCACTTACCTCCCCTACCGCCTCCCCCTCGTCACCCGAGCCGGCTGCATGCGTGGCAGCCAGTCCCCTTCCAAACCGCACCAAAGAGTCACCTGTACATGCTCATGCTTCACACGCTCCACTTCCCCACCCTTGTGTCCTGCCCAGACACCAAGTGGCGGGACCTCCTACCACCAATAGAGGGTGGGGAGCCCCGGTGGGACAGTCTCTATTTCACCTTGGTTCCACAGCCCATCGGGGACATCAGCTGGAGAATCCTGCACGGAGCTGTGAGCACGGGTGTGTATTTGGCGCGGTTCACCCCCATTCCAAACACCTGCCCCTTCTGTGGTGAGAGGGATAACCTGGCGCACATGTACCTTGAGTGTGCCAGGTTACAGCCCCTCTTTCGGCTCCTCCAGAACCTTTTGTTGAGGTTCTGGCTGCACTTCTCCCCTCACCTGTTAATTTACACACACACCCATCTGAGGCCCCACAAAGTCGCGGGACCTTCTAGTCAACCTCCTCTTGGCTATTGCCAAGTTGATAATTTATAAGACCAGGGAGCAGAGGCTGGCCGAGGGAAGGGCCTGCGACTGTGGGACCTATTTCCGTTCCTGCATCCGCTCATGTATCCGAGCAGAGTTCTACTGGGTGGCGTCCGCTGGCTCTCTTGAGACCTTCGAGGGGCAGTGGGCACTGTCTGGGGTTCTCTGCTCGGTGTCCCCATCCGGTTCCCTTGTTTTAGCCCTCTGACCCTCACACCAGTCCCTGTTTTCCTTTTATTTGTCCCAAGTAATTACTTGGTTTCCTGGGCTCAGTGGACCCTCCTCATAGGCTGGGGGGAGGTCCTTTAGATGTGGATGGGCTAACCCCTGCCCACCTCCCGGATTCCAATAGGCACCTCTGCTCTCTCACACCTAATACAAGGCTCGGAACAAAACTAAGGAAGTTGGTGAGGTGTTGGAGACTGTCATACTCCAGCTCAGGTTATTTTAAAGCCTAATTCTCAAAAGCATGTGATGGGCAGCAGGATACAAACTTACAACAGATAAGAGAAGTAGCAATGGGGAGGGATAGCATGGTAGTTTGAGCATTGGCCTGCTAAACCCAGGGTTGTGAGCTCAATCCTTGGGGAGGCCATTTATGGATTTGGGGCAAAAATTTGTCAGGGATGGTACTTGGTCCTGCTGAGAAGGCAGGGGACTGGACTTGATGACTTTTCAAGGTCCCTTCCAGTTTAGGTAGTTCTCATTATCCCATTGCTACTTCTCTTATCTGTTTTAAGTTTGTGTCCTGCTGCCAATCACCATAGCATATGAGAACTTCCTAAAGTCTCTGGTGCCTCTGTCTTTTCCAGGTCAAATCTCTGCTTTGGGTATGGTGTTTAGGTTTTATATTTTGTGGGTAGTTAACTGGTTTGTTCATTCAAGAGTGTTGTGTTCATTTGCTCCTCCCTATGGCTTAGCCCTTGTTATTTGCTGTCCCCAGCCATCTGACTAACTCCTCATAGAATCATAGACTTGGATGGAACCTTGAGAGGTTCCTGCACTCATGACACCCATCTAGACCATCCCTGACAGGTGTTTGTCTAACCTGCCCTTAAAAATCTCCAGTGATGGAGATTCCAGATTTCCCATACTCCTCAGAAGCAGTGCAAAAGGTCATGGGAGTCAAGGATAATAAAGTATCAGAGGCGTAGCCGTGTTAGGGTACGTCTAGACTACATGCCTCTGTCGCCAGAGGCATGTAGATTAGGCTACCAGATATAGTAAAATGAAGCGGCAATTTAAATAATCGCCGCTTCATTTAAATTTACATGGCTGCTGCGCTGAGCCGACAAACAGCTGATTAGCTGTTTGTCAGCTCAGCGCGATAGTCTGGATGCACGGGTGTCGAAATGAAAGGCATTTGTCGCCCAACCAGGGAAACCTCATCCCCAGAG